AGAGAAAAGCTTCATTGCTATGCCTTTAACTACAATACATATTTTCAGATATTTTAGCTGAAATATAAGGACATCCTTTTATTATTTTGTAGACCTATATTTGTTTCACTAGAATATGAACAAATAAGTGAATGAGACAATTTTGCTGCACTCGCTCTTATTTAACAGCAATTTATTCGTGTTTAAAGATATGTTTAGACTGAGAAAAAATAAGGAAGTGATAAAATTATTTAGTTCATTTCTTTTGTATAGGATTCAGATCTGTTTCATTTTAACAAGCTTGGAAGAACAGAGCGTTTTCAGTCTCATAAATGTCCATCTTTGTAAATCTCTACAGTACCCACTCCTACAGCTGCCAGAAACACATCCACTTGAATCCATGCCTCCTGAGGACAAAGCTGTTATACACACCAAGACAGAAATTTTCTGTATTGATAAGAATTTGCCTTGCGTAACAGCAGGTTTTAAAAACATTTCTGCTTTTGGCATTGCTCCAATTTCAGGACAAAGCCTGAGCATCAGGCTTAACAGAGGAACTGTTAATACAGTGTGGATTTGGATCTAAGGATTATTCAAACGTGTAAAAGAAACAAATACCTCTTGTAACAAAAGGTGGAGGAACACAAACATTTAGCTTCTCCCTGAATATAATTAAAACTTCCTTGTAGATCATTTGGCACCACTGACTGATAATTTAGAACATAAATTTTAAAATTAGCACTACAATCTAAATACTTAATCTTCTCTGAGAAATTGAAGACTTTTAAGATGTTATGTGCATGCATCTAGGGGAAAACATATTACTAATTCTCCAAACAAACTGATGGGAGTGAGGCACCCTGGTGAAGCCTCTTCTGAGCCTACAAATATTTTCTTTTTCTGTGATATGACCTTTAATGCCCTGTCTTTAAGAAAAACAAAGTAATTTGTATTTAAAAGGAGAGTTATCTCAGGGTTGATTATGACCTGGTGAGAAGACTGCAACAAGGGTTTTGTAAATGTGAATCCATAAAAACAAAATCGTACAGCTCAACTAGGCACAGGAAGAAGAAACAGAAAAAGCAGCAGGAAGTTTGGTTCTTGACTGCCTCCCAGAGCAAAGTGCTCCCATTACTGCAGCCCTTTGCCACAGCAAGGGAGTCAGTTCCCCACAGCACAGTGCAGGGAGGAATCAGCTCCCACCCTGCAGCTGCTGGGGACAGGCACAGCCAGTGTGTCCTCCTTCCTCCACGCCTACCTGCACAAGGCTGAGGGAGAATCCCTTGCAGAAGCCCAAGTAACCCCAAAACACACCAAGTGCTTGAGCTGTGGGAACACTCCTCCTGCTTCCTTGTGCCCATGCTCTGCACACTGAGCTCTTATTCTTGAATTATTGCCATAGTGCTCTCCAGTGCTGCCCTGGACTCAGTTCCACACCAGGCTGGTTGAACTCAAGGCTGGCCATGGCTTGCCTCTTTACTACCAGTAATGCACTAGCAAAATTTTTTTAAAAAATACCTTTTTTCACAGATTTGCTCTGCCTTATTGAACTAATTTTGCTTAAATTTAAAAAACTTAATAAAATCCATGACTTTTCTAAGTAACAAACAGCTGAATAAATTTATAATCAAAAGAATATGCTTTCAAGTAAAATAGTTCTGAAAAAGAGACAAAGCCAAATTCACGTCATATTAAGTGAAATAATTGTGTCCCTGGCTGAAGGGCAATATTCTTTTAATATGTAACATGGAATATTTATTTTTGTAGCAGTAACAGAGAAATACTCATCTAATTGCAAACAGTTCTCAAAAATATATTTGGACCACAGATTTAAGACATCTGAATTCCAGAGACTGAAGGGAAGAGGGATCTACAAAGATGAAGTCCTATCACATGGCTGACCTTCTCCCTATATATACCTCTTTGTTCTTTTGATATTCAAGTTTGTAGTTCCCTAGTGATTCCAAGAACTAATAAGAAATTCCTGGGGAGGAAATAACAATGAAAGCAGCTGGAAGACTATCAGTTTTCTGGTTGTTTTTATTTTTTTTAACACAGCTCTCTTTATCATGAGAGTCACTTTGAACTGCTTGTTCTCTATCTCATGTTAGACTTCCACATCTCATCTTGGTCAAATGAACTTGCGTTTATTTTCAGATTTTCAGACTTCAGTTTTTTGAGTGTTGCTCAATTAACAAAATAAATACTTTGTTTTACTAAACCTGATGTGCCTGAATTTTTGCAGGTTATTAAAATCATCACCAGGTAAGATGTCTGCTGCTGCTAACTAGCTCACTGGAATCCCGTGCCCTTCTGAGAGCCCAATCATCCTAAGTGTTCGCGTTCTGGTTTAAAAAGGTCTCTCTACCTATCCTGGTAGAGATATTGGAAACATAAGTACTGCACTGTTTTGAAAGACGTCAGTATTTTCTATGAGATGTTTCATCAGACATCCATGACAATCTAAATACTTTCTAAGGTGGTTATGACTCATCACTTTAGATTAAGATGCAGTTTGGTCTCCTGCAGCCCTAATATTATTATAATGTAGTTTACTTTTGCAGACTTTATTTTGTGATTAAGACAAGGAGTTAACAGCACTCAGTAATGCAGAGATGGGCATTACTTGCCATAGTAATACAAACTTCATCCTCAGCAACACTGTTCCTGACCTGACAGGGACTGTCACTTGTGGGTATCTTCAGTGCCCAAGTGTCTTGAAAAGTACTGGCTGAGACAACAATTTCTGCAATGTGCAAATTTACACACCAGGAACTGGATGAAAAGAGTTGATCCATTTCACAAAAAGGGTTAAGTACATTTCAAGGCTAGCAGCTGTTGCTAAATTCATGCATCCTGGATTGGAATCAGTATCTAACATGTGACGAGCACTGGGCTGCATTAGCACACAATATTACTGAAGAGATGCTAGCACTAACAGCTTTGGTTCTGCCTGGGAGCACACACACGCATGTTGCATTCTTCTTCCATATTGAGTGTCTATTCTGCTGCTATAATTTGATAGTACACTGAGTGGACGAACAGCAGACTCATATTTTCCTTTGAAATTATAAACATAAGCATAGGAGTTCTGTATTGCTTGGCATGGAAGCTGTGATTTTGTCTTTCTTGCATGCTGGCTTTGTTTTGGACACTGACAGATTTTTCTGGATGACGGTGATCGGAAAAAATTTTCTAAAAGTCCAGTAAGACAAGACCCAGACTTTCAAATGCCTATCACCACAGAATCTTATACATACAATTAATTATTAGGTGTGCCTTTACCTGCCTGCATTTTAAAGGAGTCTCTGAAGGTGATAGGTTTGAAGTTATACTTCCTCTTTGTTTTACTGTGTAGGATAACACAGAAGTGAATCACTCATCTACAAATCTGTGGGTAAAACACATGTGAGCCTGAATGCAAAGCCAGTGTTCTCATCTTATATTCAGAGGTGACAACTCTGGAGCAGAGCACACAACATTTACACGTCCTATCTGATATTAGCATGCAAAAATGGAACTACAGTGTGGAGAGGTCAACAAAATAAGCAAGCCCATGCTTCCCACAATATATGCACATGTGGCTATTTGGCACCAATGAGCCAGATTGCTTCCCAACTGGTTATTCTCTAAAAACAGTTTATCTGGACAGGCATCTCTACACCAGCAATTACTGGTGTGTCCTGAAGGCCTAAAGAGTGTTTTGGTGTGCAGCAAAGGGAAACTGAGTAGGTCTGTAGGATCCATGTGATCTTCATTTCCCCTGGCTTTGTGTACAAAGATCTTGATGCAGAGTAACCAAGTGACAGGACAGGTGAAAGGCGAGAGGACGTCAGCAGCACAGCTGCTGTCCCATTGGAGTGAAGGATTAAACCCAGCAGCCCAGGTGGGAACTGTGCCACCTCCCCAGCACATAGTGCAGTCACTGGAGCTCCTTCTGCACTGCTGCTGGGAGACCTCACTTGAAGACAGACAGACAAATTATTACTTTTCCAATTTGTCCTAATGATAAGGAGCTTTGAAATACAATGCAAATCATGGCCTTCAGCATCCTTATCAGCAAGCAGAGCAGCTCATTGCAGAAGTTGTAATGTATTCCAATCTAACTAACTGGGCATATTTATTTAGATACAGGAAATGGAAAAAGCAAACAATGCTGTCCTTTGCAATGGAACTCTATCCCTCCTGCGGCAGTGCAACGTCAGCCTTCTCAGAACTACTTTTCCACGAAGCCAAAAGTCCCATGCCGAGTCCCTCATCTTTCCCTCTGCTGTTGTCACCATAGACTGCTCGCTGCCCTCCCCAGCTCAGGGGCAGCCCCCCGAGCTCCCATCGAAGGTGCCACGGTAATCCTCCAGCCCCTGCCCCGTGAATCCTGGCAGCCTGTCCGCTTCCCATGGCACCAACCCCACCAGCATCTGGATGGAGCCTCCCAGCTCCAGCCGCAGCGCTTTTCTCATGTCTCGACCCTCTTCAAGGCCAGCAGTGCTTCTATGACACCGGCTTGGCCGCTTTTTCCATCACACCTTCCTGCCCTTTCCTAGAGGAGCTCCTTCACGGGGAAAGCGCTGCTGGGCGGCGGAGCAGGATAGCGCCGGGGCCCGGGCACCCGGCGACAAGCTGGCCCGGGCTACGGCCCGCGCTCCCTCCCGCGGAGGGGCTACCGGGGAGGAAAAGCAGGCGCGGCTTGTTCTTCCCGGCCAGCTTTTCCTCCCGGGGAGCCCCGCCAACCCTGCCGCCCACGGCACGTGCTGATGGACGGGCGGGGGCGGCGGGCGCGCTCCCGCCTCCCCGCGGGCCCCCGCGGCGCGCGCGCCCGGCTGCAGTGATTGGAATCCGGCTCGATCCCGCCCCGCCCCGCAGGGACGCGCCGGGAGCGCCTGCCGGGACACGGAGCCTGCGCCGAGCCCGCGCCGCGCCGTCCCGCCCTCCCCCGCCCGACACGCACCCGCCTTCGCCCCCGTCTCAGCGGAGCCGTCGGGGCCCCGGGAACGGCCCGCGGAGCGCGGCGGGGAGCGGGCCCCCTCCCCCTTCGCCTGCCGTCCCCGCGCCGAGGATGAGGAGCCCCCACCGCCGGTGAGTGCGGCCCGCGCCGCGGAGGCCTCGGCCGGGCGGGGAGAGCCGGGGCGCCCCGGGCAGCGCCGCGCCCGCTCCGCTCCGCTCCCTCTGCGGCCGGGGCGGCGCGGGGCGCTCCCTCCGCGGCGGGGCCTCTTCGCCGCCGTCGGGCGGCCAGGCCTGGGCGGTGCCCCGCGGGGTCTGCGCCGGCCCCGAGCAGCGCCGTCGAAGGCGGACTCCGCTGCGGCCGGCGGGGGCCCCCCGCCCCGGCCTGGCTGCTCGGGGCCCGGGGAGCGCCCCCGGCCCGGCCGCCCTGCCCCGCCGCGGCGCTGGGGGCGCTGCCCGCCGGGCCGGGCCGGGCCGGGCCGGGTGGGCGCCGCGGGGGCTGCGCGGGGCCCGCGGGTCCTTGCGTGGGCAGGGCCGGCGCGGCGCTCGCTGCCCGTGCGCTCCCTCCCTCCCTCCTGCCTTGCCTTCCCTTCCCGGTGTTGTAATCCCGGGCCCGCTGCCGAGCGGCCCCAGCCCGAGCGAGCGGCAGCGCCCGTCGTCGTGGGAAGGGGTGAGAGGAATAAGGTGCTTCGCCGTCCTTTTGTGCGAGCCTTGAACAAAGCTGGACGCTGGCTTTCCAGATCGGGTTTTGCCATTCAGCGACGTCAAACAACAAAAGTCTGAAGAAATAACAACCCCAGATAATCACCCGTACCTCAGTAGTGAATGATTTGTGCTGTTGAGGACCGATTATATACGCGGTTTTCATAACTCGTTACAAAATCTATTGAACAGGGTTCAAAAGCACAAATGGCTTTTTACCACCTTTTAATCAGCCACACTCCGATGTTGTTTTGGTAAAATTAAGAGTGAATTCAGCAGCAGGGAATGGTAGTAAGCTGTGGTATTTCCTTTCAGCAGTTGCCTGTTACTTTGTGTCAAGTTGCATGGCGATTTTTCGCCGTGTAAATTGATTGCCCTATGAATTTACATATTTTGTTCTCTGTTTAGAGGTAATTACCTTGAGTTCTTTTATCAAGTTAGCACACTAGGGATTGTTCAGGCCTGTTACCTGCAAGGATAGAGAAACTGCTTTTGTAGATAAAGAAGACTCTTCCACATTGAAACGTTTGTTTGACTTGTAGTAGAACCTAGTCCTGGAGTAAAAAATATTAACATAAGAGCAGTTTATAATCAGGTAATTTATCCAGTCTATGGATAGAATCCTCGGTGTTGTGGCATTTGTAGCAGCTTGGATAAAGCTCTCACTGACAATGTATTTGTCTTTTGGTCTTGTACTTTTGTTCTTTTGTAGCTTTTTCTTTGGGGGGTGTGTATGTGGCTGTGTATTTTATATGTATTTATATAGACAGGTACAACCTGGTAGGCTTTGAGATCTGGTTTGGAATTTTATGAAGTGTCTTCTCATGCACCTACAAGATTCAGCTGCCTGTCCTTAGTATGTCCTGCTGACTGATTTCTTCCAACGACAGAGACTATATGTGGCTGGATCTGAATTATTTTCTTCCCTTAATTGTAAAGTAATTTAGTTTTGAAAGGGACTTCTGGATGTTATCTGTTTGAGGCTTTGTTCAAGTTGGAGCAGAAAGCTCTTGTTAAGCTGCAAGCCTGAAATAGCATGTTACTTGGAATTAATTGATTAAAGACATGTTTACTAAAACACTACATAGCTAGAGCATAGACTTTCTTAAAGCTGGTGTGTGAGACCCCAAATCTTAATGCTTTGGACACTGCTCTGCAAGATCCTCACAGTGAAAATTGTTATGGAAATTAAAAATACTGAATATGGTGGAGTGTGTAAATGATATGTGAGCTTTTTCTGGCTACCAGTTCTCACATACAGAGCTGCAGTAGCTTCTTTGGCAAATTGCTGGAAAACACAGGTGAATGTAAGAGACCAATCAGTAAGTGATAGAGAAACTGTTAAAAAACTGTTAAAAATGTTTGCTTGTCCTTGCTTATTTCAAGCATCAGTTGAGGATTTGTCCTGTGGGTACCTGGGAAAGCATCAGGTATTTCTTGGTTCCTCAGTAAAAAGAGGACATGTTTTCAGTGCCTTGGATTTCTTCAATTATCTTACTGTCATCTGTAAATAAATGACAGAAGGAACTCAGTAATTTAAAAGTATATCTCGTCAGAGTCATATGTGGGTACAGATGGACTACTTGAAGCCTTGTTTCCTTTGCTGATATTCCCAAAATGCAAGACTTGGAGGCAGGCACGGAGTGTGCCTGACAAGCAGTTTTTCCTTTCACTGCTGCTTTATTGGTTTCACTTTTTCCTTTCTTGGACAAGACCTGCAGAAGACGCTGCAGTTGTCTCACACAGTCGTGCTGATGGTCCCCCAGTCGCAGTGGTCTCTTTCATGCCTTCCAGGATGGTTAGTGCTTTAAGGGGAAACGGGATTTCTTTCTGCCTTGTTTTCTTGCAATCCCTTAAAGATTTCTGTAAAAGCTGTTGAGGGTTCACTACTCTCCTGCAGCAAGTAGTTACTCTTTAAAATGTTTAAAACTGACAATGAATGTAAAACCTGCTATGTTGTATCCTTTAAGAATAACATGGTGACTACACTAGGCGATCCGTGGAACTGGGTGAAGGGTTGAAACAGTCATCTCATTTTTCTTCTTTTGTACAGAAAATGTAATTTTAGCAATCTTGGTGCTCTTATTGAGAAGATCTGTGGAATAGCTATTTTGTGAGGGATTTAGTCCAGAAATGTTTGTCATCTGCGCAGTACATTGTATTTGGGGTGTGTAAATCCCAAGAGGTTTAGCTTGATAAAACACTGGCTCACCACTGACCAGGAAATCAGGGGACAAGCTGCCAACTTGCCAGGATGGACTTGTTGAGAACTGGCTTGCCATAACTTTGATGGGTACATTTACAGAGCATATTAGCTGTATTTCATGTCCATTTGCCTCCAAAGTAAAACAAAGCAATTATGCCTCTGGTCTGCAAATATGTATTTTGAAATTCACTGTAGCAGCTTGGACACCGAACATTTTTAGGTTGCTGTATATTTGATATATTGAGAACACCAAAAACTTAATTCATCCTGTGGTAGTGCAAAACCCTTGCATGGGTTTCTGGTTATGACCCCTTTGTTTCAGCTGTACACAAATGGTGTGAGAAATATAATCCAAAGAGGTTTTTCTTGTCATTTTTCTAAAGGGTGTCTTGTAGTTGCCATCCCATTTCACTTGAATTCTGTGCGTTATGGTTAGGTTTAGTGCTGTTTAATGATGGTCTGGTTAGCAAAATTCAAAACAAACGTTAGGGTAGAAAAATAAACTCTGCTTCGTGACTGTGATGATATCCATAGGCTGTATAAGCGGGAGGAAAGGAAAAGCCACAGCAAAGCGTTATTGAAGGGCAGGTGTGTCACCAGCTCTGAGTTTCTGCAGTGACACCTGCAGTTACAGTGAAAGTGATTGCCCTGATGGAACTGTCCCTGCCATCACTGCCCTGTCACCGGCGACTCTTCATGGGCGGGGAAAGGGCTCTGAATGTCATGAAGGTGTGAACTTTGAATGTTTTAAAATATTCTGATTAGACAAAAAACTATGTAGTAATAATTCACAGGATGTGTATCTGCAACATGCAGCTAAATGTTCTCATGCTCATTTTTTCCTCAAAATAGGATTCCCCAAAATACAGAGGAATATGTAATGCATTTAAATGCACTTCAAATATCATGAGTTGCTTTACATTAAGAGGGGAAAAAGTCAGTATTATTAACTCAGCTCTGCAGAATTGCAGCTTAATTTACACCATATATTATAACAGCAGCAATGCTTTTTACAAAAATTTGATATCACAAATTTTTGCAGTGTGGTTTCAGTTAACTTTTGTTAGCTTCTTCCACATTTTAAACTAATATTCTTTGTGTCTCTGTTCCCTCAGTTCACCATCTTAAGGAGAAAACTGTCAGTCTTCCCGTGCTTTGGTTGATAAATACAAGCAGATGTAGCAGGGATAAGTTAGAGAAATATCAAAGACTCACAAGATATGTACCAGGAAATAGATCTGGTTTGTGGAAGTGATTTCCTTTTCACTGGTGCAGCTGTTGAAATGATTTAAATTTGCTTCTCTTTTCTTGTTTTTTTAAAAAAAATCTCACCTAGAACCATTTGTAGGCCTTTATACTTCCTCTGTGAGAGCCCGATCCCAAATTTGACTGGAGCTCAAATGTCTTTGGAGGACTGAAGTCATCAGAGATTTCACTGATGCAGAGAATTAATACTCAATACAGTTAATGAGATTGGTGCAAATGGGCAGGAATATATTAATAAGCTCAGGTAAAATTTTCTGAATTAATCATTATTTTTCCTCTCTCGTGTTCAGTTGGAAAATCCCAGTGCAGTGGTCAGGCAGAGGAACTGTTCCGTGTATTTTTGCGCAGGTATAGAGGGCTTGAAAAGGAAGCATAAATAGGAGGTGCAGGAATTGTTCAGCAGGAATAATGGATACTGTAAATATGAAAAATGTATAATCTACTTGTCCCTTTATATTTGAGAATGAAAGAACTTGGGGAGTAGTATGAGAACAAGGGGATTTATCGGAAGAAAACTGGACCTGAGTGAGTGGAAATGTGAGTGAGGAGACCACAAAGCTGGGTAAAATGTGCTCTTCCTGGCTGCGTGTCCTTCTTTGTGGAAGAAAAGATCATCTTTAACAGAATGTGTTGGAGATTTTAGAAACCCTCCTGTTTCCCTCTCAGCGTTGTGTGAGGAGCAGGCCTTGCAGCAGTCAGGTTTGGGCAGCTGAGAGTTAATTACAACACAGCATTGGCACAGGGATGAGCTGCCAGCTAATGAGGTGCAGCCTTTCTTCTCACTGTTTTTTGGGTACTGAATCTATCTTCTGTTCAGGTTATTGAAGGGATTTTAGTGGTAATGAAAAACAGAGTAGTGGTACCAAGTATTAAGCAGAAATATACCTGATGATAGAAGCTATGGGAAGTTTCACGTTTAAAGGGTTTTTTTAAAAAAATTGGTTTGAATGTCTCCTCTCTT